GGTTTGGCTCAGCAGTTAGAGCGTCGGCCTGCGGACCAGAGAAAAGTGTAAGCAATTACTCTCTAGTGAGAAAGCCGACACAGAAATGCAGACAAGGATCCTGCCTCCTTCTGCCGCTGTCCCCTGGGGCACAGTCTTGTCACAGGCTCCATGTGAATGCAATGCCAAAATAGCGCTTTGCGACCACCGTCGATGGAAGTTATGGATGAATTCCAAGTCAGTTATCGTCAATGAAAAGATGGGTTAGAATGAAAGAAAAAAAAAATCCAGGGAGTACACTTAGAACAAACTTGTGCATTCAATTATGTCCTCCTCCCCCAAAGACAGGTTGCAGTTCTAAACGCCAGTCCATGACTTTATAGATGTCATCCAGCTGGTGAGGTCAGACTGGACCAGGGTGGGTCCCAACGCTGAGACACACACGCGGCAGGGAGAAGGTCATGTGAGGCCGGAGGCAGAGGCCGGAGTGAGGCAGCTAAGAGCCCAGGAAGCCAGGCAGAGCAGGCGGCCACAGCAGCTGGAGAGGCTGGAGGGACCCTCTGCCAGGGCCCTCGGAGGGGGCAGGACCCTCCCTGTTCACTCCCTGATTTTGAACTTCTGGCCTCCAGAACCGTGAGAAGACATTTCTATTGTCTTAAGTCCCTTAGTTTGTGATAGTTTATTGCAGCAGCCGCATTGGTGAAGAAAGGGGAACTCAGGCCGGGCCCCTGCCCATCACCCCATGTGATGTTACTGGCAGCCAGGCCCCTGCCATCAGTCCAGTGCTTCCCACTACACCACGGCGTCCACAGCTAATGAAGGTGGTTAGTTAAGAAGTCCACGTGCAACCCGACCGGTGTGGCTCAGTGGCTGAGCGTCGACCCAGGCACCAAGAGGTCGCCGGTTCGATTCTCAGTCAGGGCACATGCCCAGGTTGTGGGCCCGATCCCCAGCGGGGGGCACGCAGGAGGTGGCCAATCAGTGTACTCTCTCATCGATATTTCCATCTCGTCCTCCCTCTCCCTTCCTCTCTCTCTAAAATAAAGAAAAAGAAAGAGAGGACAGCCCACATGCAGAACGCCTAGCATGGTGCCCACCACGCCATGTGCCTGAAATGAAGGCTGGCTATTAATGTTATGGTTGTGAACGGTCCTCAGACTCTGCCTCCAAGCTGACTTCAGGGGTGTCCTGGGCTGGCCTTTTGCAGTCCTTCCTAACAGTGCTGTTGGCGCTGAAGTCGTCCTCTCCAGCTCCGAAGCAGCCGCCTTTCACTCAAAGAAGCTGGTGAGAACCTAGCTTTGACCTTCTTATTCTTTTAACCCCAACAATCTTTTCCTTTTTCCTTAATTGTTTACCTTCTCGGTTTATCCCGTCAAATCTCGTCTTGCTGGGCATCGCCTTCCTTTTTTCAGCCTCGTGGGCAATGAGCTGAATGTAATTTTGGGACACTGGACAGCTTACTCTGTAAGAGGACAAACTCCCAAACTGCATAGGCTTGGTTCATATTTTCAGTCCAAATTCTTCCCTAAAATTGTGTACTAAGTAAGAATCAAGTCAATGCACCAGGATTAAAATGCAAGTCCCTAAATCAATGTTTGTTTTTTTTAAAGTTATGTTTCGATTGATTTTTTAGAGAGAGATAGAAACATTGATGTGAGAGAGAAACATCGACAAGCTGCCTCCTGCACGCCCCCTACTGGGGATCGAGCCTGCAACCCCAGCATGTGCCTTGACTGGGAATCAAACCAGGACCTCTCAGTCCATGGGATGACGCTCAATCCACTGAGCCACACCAGCCAGGATAATTTCTGGGTTTTTTTACATTCAAATGTTTAACTGTGAAAATCATTTGCTGTCTATTTTATCCATATTAGTGGAGATGACAGGACATCTTTCAACAGAAACCCCTAAATCTTTCTAAAGCCATTACAAGGTGTATAGCTGCAGACCTTTAGGATCTTCAGTTGGATTTACTGTGTTAGCTGAAAGTCCTTTTTTTTAAATCATGGAAAGTGCTGTAATTATAATCACTTTAGAACACCCTTATTATTACTAATAAGACCAAGCTGCACAGTGCAAGCAGATGCCGATTCTCTGCTGGTAGAAGTCACATAATGGCATCAAACATCCACACTCATCTCCATGCCAACGTGGTCCTGCTCTCACCTGGGCTTCTGGGCAGAGGCCTGTGATGCCTCGAAGAATGTCAGGCAGAACGAGGGACCGCCAGTTCTTGATGAGAGCATTCAGGGAACCGGCGCAGCATTCAGGTTGGCTTTGCCATGGCGGTGGGACAGGGGGGTGGTCGGTAGAGCCCTGGTTCCCGTTGAATCTCTCTCACTTTCTCTCCCATGCAAACCTGCGTCCAACTAGTCATCATGCCCAGAAGGAAGGGGAAGAGATGAGGGCACGGCAGGACTGGGAAAGTCCGGGTCTGGTGACACGTGAGGTCCCTGGCACCTTGGGGTTTAAGAGGTTCAGGGACCTCTGGCTGGAAAGGGTAGTTTGAAGCCCAAATACAAAGAAAAGAAGCCAGGAGATAGGAAGGCAAAGGAGCCTAGTGGTTCAGGATTTGCATTCTGGAATCTAGTTTTTGGGTCCTGTTTCTGGTTCCTCTGCTTTCTTGTCCTGTTGCTCTGGACACGTCATTCAGCCCTCCAAGCCCCAGTCTCCCCATCCCCTAAATGGGGATGAGAGCCATGAGGTGGTGTGAGGTTCCCCAGGGACAGCGAACATACGAGCACAGGACTTCCCGGAGGGGAGCCCTTCCCTCTATCTATGACTATGACTTAGTTCTTGGAAAAGGCTTGGCTATTTACCACTTGGATTTACAATTCCATTTTTTTCCCCCCTCCACCTAAGCAAGTTTTGGGCTTCAGAGAAATCTGCAGAGAAAAAAAACACATGACACCGGGCCACGAAGAGAGCAGAAAAACTCACTCTGGGTTCAGAAGTCACTCCCGGCTGGCTGCCAGCCCGTCTAACCTGCTGCAGACACCCTGCTGGGGATCAGACATTTCAGGGGAGACAGGGAAAGAAGTGAATCCTAATGCACTTGTCACTACCACCTAAGAGTCCACAGCAGGCATTTGGAAAGATTACACACATAGATTTTGCTATAAAGAAGCTTATTACTAAATCAGGCCAAGAAGGAGGCACAGAATATTTCACTTCCTGTCAAATGTAAAAGTTAAATCTAGATTGTAAAAAACAGCCTTCCTTGGAAACATGCTAACGTTTAACTGAGAAATAACCTTCCCAGCCAAGGTAAAGACGAGCATTGGGTACTCAATAACTTAAACTTTCCCATTTTAAAGTAAAGGTCATGGGATTAATGAAGAAAGACAAGCTATTATTGATGAAAGATTTTTTTATTTGTTTTTGAGAGCCCGAGATACATATTTTTTAGTTCTTCTTGAGGCTTTTCCCCCTTCCCGAGACAGTCATCGGGACCCGTTTGTCACAGCCACCAAAATCTGCTCGACTTTAGTAAGAATTCCCATCCACTCGAAAATAAACATGAGTTTTTCATCTAGGCACACCTGATCCAATTGGAGAGACATTTAGGGCTTCCCAGGTTATCCTTAGGCCACAAAAGGGGCCCATCCTCAATATCTTGTGAGATCTTGTGAGATTTCAGGAAAATGTACAAGGTTTTACCACCAGCACATGGTTTCACGCGCTGGCCAGCACCAACATCTTGTGGTCAAATTAAGCCTCCTCAGCTGACTCCCTCCAGCCACCAGCCACCCTGTAGGTGGCAGAGGGCACTCAAATGAAAGGCAGCCGGAATCAAAGTTTTGAGCAAAATACATTTTTGAAGGTTTTTTTTTTTTTAAACTAATTAAACGAGCATAGAAGTTAGTCAGTAGAATTTCTTTTTAAAAAAGAATTAGCATGGCATGTCTTTCTCTTAAGAACGTCTTGCATAATTTAATTAGAATTACACCAAAGTCATGAGTCTGTTCTATTTATGGAGGAATCATTGCTGAATTAAAACCCCAATGACAATGTTAGGAGTAAAAATAAAGTATCTTCAGACAGTGTATTCTACTGATAAGAAAATTTTGACTTCAAATCACACTTTGATTAGGAAGGCGGAGGGGGGCCACATCGATGCCTGGGATTTTGTTTTTCTTAAGATTGCCCACCCAGCCTGGGGACATTTATTTCTTGCTACAAAAAGTGCTAAGCAATCATTCTGAGAAAGAGAAAAAGAAAGCTGATTTTATTTTGTCACTGGGAGACCACTTCGTCCCGGAAAGCCTAGCTCAGCCGGTCTGTTTTTCTAGCAGCTTTACTGCATTTAACACTTTTCACGCACGTGTGCAGACACTTTCGTTCCGTGCAGAGGGGCTGGGCAGCGGAATGAGCCAGGGGGGAGCAGAGAGGCCGCCCCCGGGGAGGAAAGCGGTACCGAGGGGACGCAGCCCCTGGGCAGGCAGCCGCCCACCCCTCGGACCAGGCAGCTTTGGGCGGAGCGCATGCCTAAATCCCTCTCCAAGGGTACTGCGCCGCCGGAGGCGGCCACTAGCCTCCTTAGCAAGGGGACAGCGCGGGAAGTGGGGAGCGGACGTAAACAGTAACACAAAGTGATTCCCGGGGAATAACAGCATCACGCCCCAGGCCCACGGCACCTCTCCGGGCTGGAAGGAGGTGAAGCCCTCCAGAAGGAAATCCCCTTAGAAGGAATGTACAAGTCTCCTCTCCCGGCCCAGCCACACGGAACCGGGAGTGATCAAGTTCTGAAACACGTGCACACATCCCTGGGCTACGCCCGCGGTTGGGCTGCCACCGCTCCAGGTCCCGAGTGCGTGCGCCCCGCTCTGGCCCAGGGGAGCCCTCTGAGCTCCCCACCCCCCACCCTAGTCTGCTTTGGGACCACACTAAGCTGCGCGGAGGCACGGCTGGGCGCGCCCTCGAGCCCCCCCGCGCCCCCCAAAGCCCGAGGCGGCAGCCGCGGGACTGCAGGGACGGCAGGGCGCCGGTCCCGGGGGGCGGGGGAGCGCCCACCGACCTACCTTCTGCGGGGGGGTCCCGATCAGCACCTCCAGGTAGTAGCCGCGGCCAGAGTCGCCCTGCAGGTTGTCTACCATGGCCAAGAAGTTGGCCGCGGCCCTGGAGGGCTCCAGGGCGAACGCCAGACCGTCAGCGTGGGGCTCCGCGGGGGGCCCGGGCCCGGGGGTGGGCGCAGCCCCGCGGCTAGAGGCTGAGGCCACCCGGAGGGGCAGTGTGAAGGGCGCCGCAGCCAGCGCCGGGGCGGCGCGCAGGAGCCACTGGGCCAGCAACGGCAGCAGCAGCGCCCGGGCCAGCGCGCCCATGCCGGCGGCGGGGCCCGGGGGACGCGCCCAGCCCGACCCGTCCTGTCCCGTCCGGCGACTCTGCCACTCAGCGTTGTGCGGGGCTGCGGGGAGGGCTGGGCGCGTACCGGGCAGGCGGCGGCGGCGGCGGATGGGAGGAGGGCCGAGGGAGGAGGCTCGGGGAAGAGGAGGAGGCTCGGGAAAGAGGAGGAGGCTCGAAGCCGCCTCAGCCCGCGCCGCCAAGTTGAGCAAGTTGGTCGCCGCTGCCCCCTCTGGCGGGCGGCGGCTGCCCCGCAAGGGCCGGGCCCCTCCCCCGCGGCCAGGGTCTGAGCGCCGCGCGGGGTGCACGGGGGTCCACACTCGCCCGCCTCGCCACCCTCGCCGGTCTCCGGCCGCGCCTCTTCCCTGGGGAAACTCGTGTCCTGAACTTCCTCGGAACGCGCCCCGGCGGCCACGGCCAACGGATGTGACGAGGCTCATCTGATACCAGGGGGGAAAGTTTCGGGAACCCTTAAAGGGGAAGCGAGGGCCTGAACCGGACCCCCTGCCCCGCGCGCGAGGGCACCCCGCCGGTGTCCTCTGGCCCTGCAGGGGCGGGGGCTGTCAGGGGTTACTCAGGGGTCAGAGAGGAGAGGAGAAAATCGTTAAAAGAGCCTTGAGCATCACAAAGCGAGTCTGCGCCTCCCCTCGCCAAGTACGTACTGCTGCCCCGGCCCACCGGTCTGGCCACTTCCCGGGCATTTCCCGGGCGCTGCTGCCCACCCCTGGCCCCATTCCTGCCCACTCCCCTTCCTCATCCCCACGTCGGCTTCGGAGAGCTTTTGAAGTGGTCTGGGGGAGGCAGGCGGGGACGCGAGAGCTTGGAGACTTCTCCATGGAAATCCCGGGGAGGAGAGAGGTGGGAGGCTTGGCTGCTCTCGCTGCTACCGGAGCCTCGGTTCTCCCCTTGCGCCCACCGTTTCCGCTGGGGGACCGGGGTGGTGTCCGCAGCTGGCCTTGACCCTGGCCTCCGCCCCGTGCTCCTCGGTAATGCAGATATGATGCTGCCGGGAGCCGCTCGCTCGCCGTCCCAGGGCGCCCTCGGTCCACCTAGCAAGTTGCTGTCACCATCCAAATTCAGGGCCGCGGAGTCCCGCTGCATCTTCCCCGCTGCCCCCGCAGCTCTAGGCGGCGGGTTATCTAATTAATACTCGCTTAACCACAGACACCGGGACCGCAGAGATGCGTTCAGTAATCGACGCAATGAAGGTTATTTTATTTCAGGAACTAAAGGCAGGGAGGACAATTACACAAGCTAAGTCCATCGATTTCTGCTGAAGCAAGGAGCGGAAAAATCTTTCTGCCTCCAACAGCTGAATTATGTTAGGTGTTTAGAAAACAAACAACCCATTTTCACACGGGGGGGAGGGGGGAGCAAAGCTTCCCTCCGCTGCTATTTCCAGTGACTTCTCATCAAGATTTGATTTTTAGTCCTGTCTTCTCAATTTTAGAATCAGGTCTAGCTCTTCAAGGGACCCTTAGGCCAGAGAGCTTCAGCTGCATTGATTTTTAGATGACTCTAACTATAAAGCACGTTCCCCCCAAACTACATCCCAACTTGAACAAATCCCCAGCCACACGAAGAAAGGGCTGGTTGGGTCCCCTGATATAAGCTAAATTGCTATTCCCCATAAATCTGCATAGTTATTCCAGAGCTATTACATTCATGTATTCACATTTCAAAATTAAGGTTGTGGAGGAAGTGTAATTAAAAAAAAAAAAAAAGATTCCTTATCCTCCTCAGTCCAGTCTTGAGGGGTTTGAAAGGCCATTCAAGCGTTCTCCGAAGAATGTAACCTTCTAAAAAGCACATAGAACGCCTTAAGGACATTGACATAGGACTAGTGATGGGTAAGTTCAACATCAGAGACATTTGCTCTCTCTAATAATTAAAAACCACAAGGGAAATTTTTTAAAAAAATCAAGTCTAATTAAGGTTTGTCCTTCATGAAACTCCTGCCCCAGCAGCGTGTGCGTGAGCTGGTCATCTGCAGAAGGCTGGTTCGGGTTGTGGATGAACTGCCTTCGAAGTCCAAGGACTGCAGTTCTAGTGGGGGCAGGGCTGTCTCATCAGGAAACAGTGCAGGCAGAAGTGAAGGCACCTGATGACCGGCCCCTTGGTGGAGTCTATGTGTACCGCTGTCTTAGAGTTCTTGGTCCCGGATTTGAGCAACAATGATTTTCTCCCCAGGTGTTTTAATGGAAATCACGAGGCAGTCCTCCTGTGGGGTAGCACTGGGTTTCCTTCCCACCGTTCCAGAAGCCCTTCTCCAAGAAGGGGGCCAGTTCCCAGAGTGCCCATGAGCCATGCAGGGGGAGGGAGGAGAGGTGAACCCCACTCCATGACAGAACCCTACATCCTCTTCGGACGGGCCCCTTCTCCCTCTCCGCACCTCTAGGTTTCCCCTCCTTCCTCTGCCCCCTCCCCTTCTCTCATTCCTCCCTCCCCTTCTCTTTCCCTTCCTTTCCCTCCCCCGCCCACGTCCTCTCCATCCTCTGACCCCTCCACACACCTCCTTGGTCCACTCAGGGAAACTGAAGCCCTGGAGTGAGATGGGCCCTCCCTCCTTGCAGAGGGCGAGCAGGGTCACTAAGCACATCCCCGAAGATGAGGAAGGGTCTCCTCCAGCCCATGGAGCTAACTAGGGGTTCCTTCCAGAAATCTGTGCTGCTTGGCCAGAGAGACTGGCATCGCCGTTGCTGGTGCTCACTGCTGTGACCGCCAGCTTTGGCTGCCTGTTTGCGTCAGCGGCTGTGTCTCAGGGCCCTCATACTCCCCCACACTGAGCGCCCCAAAGAGCTTTTGTTTATGGGGATCATCATCTGTCAACAGTTATCAAATTAGAAAATAAAATGGAGAAATGTTGACAATATGTAACAACTCATTTAATAATAAACCCATTACACAGCAACATAGGTAACATTTTAATGAAAACTATACTAAAAACTAGTGAGAAGAATGGTATTATTTTACACTTTTTGCAAGTCTCTCTCTGCTTACTAGAAGGTATGTGGACTCTCCTATCTCCTGTATTTGGTCTGTTTGGAAGCTTCTGGAAAATTCTATGCAACACGCAGGAGAGAATGAACATAGAAAAGGGAAATAACGTTTTAGTATTATCATAAAACTAGTTTTGAGCTAAAAAACAACAAAACCCTCTGGAAAACCGCTGATTTGTACGATCTTTCTCCGGTTTCTACATTTGTGTCTTGTGTGGTTAAGTCATTGTCAACATGTGACTATTCCGGGGTCTCAGACACTGTGTTAATATTGAAGAGAAAAAGGCAAAACAAGGGCTGAGCCTTCAGTTTGCAGATGATGGGGACCAACATTTTGCCATCCCCTCCCCGCCCAAAATACCTGTACTTTTTGGGATATTGATTTTTAAGCTTGTTATTAAGAAACAAAAGACTCAGGAAGAACCTGTGACCTTTTCCCTTTCCTGCCCAAGAGATTCAGGTAGAAAAACCTGTTTCAGGAAGGGAACCCTAGTCTTAGACAGGAAGACTCCAAGCAGAGCCTGTTGACCCCCCCCCCCCCCCCCCGTGTCCCTTGCTTCTGGGTTGCCACCCTCAACTACCTGTAAATCTCCCATTTTCACTCCTGAAACCTAAGGACCGCCCCCCGACATTTCTCCTTTGTCCAAAACGTCATGTACACTCGGTGCCGCCTCCCCATCGCTGGAATTTTCATGCGCATGTGAATTCCCCATGTGCACATATTAAAACTGGATTCTCCCGTTAATGTGATTACTAGCCCAGCGAAAACTTGGAAGGTGGGAGAAAAAGTTGTTTTTTAGCCCCTACCTCCACACAGACTAGATCAAGGGCCACCTTTCCTATCTGTCCATCCAGTGCCTCCCACACTTAGCTTGTCAACTCTCTCCCGCAGCTTGGTTTTCTACCCCCTCCTGGCTCCTTCTCAGCAACTTTTAGCTCCCACTTGTCTTTGTTTTAACCTGTCTTGGTCCTACCTCTGTAGGTTACTACCCCCCACATCGCCCTCCCCTTAGAGTCACACGTATTGGAAGTGCTGTCTGGTTCTTAGCGGCCTCCTTCTCCACTGGGCCCTGGCCCTGCAGACTCGCACAGACGCATGGGCAGTGCAGACTTCTCCTCACACTCTGGGCAGCACTCCAAGCCGCCTCTTCATTAGAATCAAGGGCAGGGGGCGGGGCCTGCACCTCTTCCCTAGAGGTCTCCCTTCAGTTGGTTTGGGGCTTCTCTAAGATTGCTAGTTCTAAAAGCTCCCCAGGTGGGTTTGGATTGGGAGCCTGGGAGAAATGAGACGCAGCTGTCAGACTGATGAGTTGAGTAGCCTTGTGGGCCTATACAAACTATACCTCACTATAACCAAATAATTGATGACGGGAACTTTCTCTTTATAGAAATAGTGCAGCTAATAAAGCAGCAGGGGTGATGGCATTAGAATATGGCCGCTTTGCAGCCCCTAATGAGTCCTGGGATCCAGGCATTGAACCACAGGGCTGAGAACATCGCGCACAAGGAGAGCGGCTACCCAGCATCTCCTGCCTCCCGTCAGAGGTCCACAGGCTGCCTGGGAACTATTCTTGCCAACAACTCAAACCTGAATCTGACTGAGCCTCTATGCCACACAGGTTGGCAACCACATCCTGGGGGCCAAATCTGATCTACCGCCTGTTTTTGTAAACAAATAAAGTTTTATTGTAACACAGCTGTACCCATTTGTATAAGCAGTTGCAACAGAAGCCTTATGGCCCATGAAACATAATTTACCATATACCCCTTTATTGACCAAGATTGCCAACCCTTGCTCTAGATCTATAGAGTTCTAAGACCCTTATCAATCAATTACAGTTAGAGACCTTATTTGGATTCTGGATTTGGAGAAAATGAAAACGTTACTTATGGGACAACTACAGAAATTTGAGCACTGGTTGGATGATATTATGCAATTATTTTTAATAGTTTTCGATGTAATGATGCTATCGTGCATGTATTTACAAGTTCTTTTCTAGCAGAGTCATGCTGCAATGTTTATGAATAAAATGAGGTTTCAAAGTAATATGGGTTGGAGGGGAACATGTCAGGCGGTGTTCTCAATGGAATTCCTAAGTC